AGAGACTTGTTCGTCGAGCGCCGGCTGATAGTCAGGTTTCATGATCATCACGTGTCCAAAGTAAGGCATTCCCGGCTTGAAGTACTGCTTCTGGAGCCTAAGGGACGGGTAGCTGATCATGAGCTCCCTGTCCACGATCGGTATTTCCGTATATTTCTCTTCAACGGCACCGTTAGTTTGGTCTACAAATTGAAGGCTAAGCTGAAGATTCCGTTGAGAATTCTGAACGGAATTCCACTGAAGTGTCGACGCGTTTAGCACCATATCGTAGCAGCCGTTGAGCTATAAATAGATTTTTAAATAGAGTTTTTGAGATATAAAGTGTTGTTCTGTTTGTTTGCAAAGAATATTCTGTAATAGTATTTGTTTTCTGGGGATTACAACTCAATTTTCAGTTGAATTATAAGAATATTGTGTGTGATATATATATTTTTATGATTGAAATCCATAACCATATCGCACCTGTACTTCATTGAGAGTGTAGGGAGAGTACTGCATCATGTGTTGCAGCATATGATGCCGTTCCCAATCAAACTTGAAATAACTGGCAAACACTTTCAACTTTCCGATTAACGGCTGTCCATAACTGTCCCGAACGCACACTTTCTGCACCCACTGGGCGTCAGTTGAGTGGATATAATCGACCGATTGGTCCATTGATATCATTATATTCGGGGTCTCTTTTCGGAGAATAAATTATAGTTTAATAAATATTTATTAATAAATTAGAATTACTAATATTTATACTGTAATATTTAATATTAATTATTTTTTAATGTAAATAAAGTTGTCTATAATATTAAATTGTAATGTGTGTTTTAAACTACACACACAAAGTAAATTTATTTTAATTTTAAAATTCTATTTTTAGTTTTTATGTCTTTAATGATAATATTAAAGTATTTATAATTTTATTTTATATATGTGTTTTGCACATAAACCGATGTCTAGACTTTGAATTATTGATCATTAAATAGAGTATTGTTTGCAAAATATATCCCTTGGCATACATAACATAATGCTATTGCAATGCTATAAATATTTCACTTAATTATTACATATTAGTATTACTTTTGTATAAATTAGTAATAATTCCAGGAATCTGGAAATCATATAATACTACTTAATACCCCATTAGCATACAAATTCTACAAATAAAATCCTAACTAATAAGCTAATGTAAAATTGTTTAAAAATATCCTTGTTTATATTATATAAGATTCTCAATAATAAGCTGTATAAATATGCCGTAATAAATACCGTAATCGAGAACTTTAAAGAATTTTTCAGCCAGAATATTCTTGGTGTTGGACACCTGTATCTTCCATAAGCCGTAGTAGTTATCCTCAGCCAACGGCATATCCAACCCT